AACTTTATGCATTTCTCTCTTGTATTGGTTGTGCATCAAATTTTTCCCTCAAAATGGAAAGAAAATCCATACTGTAGCTAGATTGAATGCTATATTTCCAGTCTTACTACTATATTCAGTTTTTTTACTTGAATAATTTATTGGTTGTGCATTGAATTCTTCCCTCAAAATGGAAAATCCATACTGTAGCTAGATCGAACGCTATGTTTCTAGTCTTATTACTTTAATTACACACCTCATAAATAGCTTGGCACACTAATAACTGGCATAATAAAAATGCTGAAAAATTCTTCCTTAATGGTTTTTTATATGATCTTAAAAATATGAGGTTAAAATAATCTTTCTGAAAAAATTCTTTCAACAATGCTCAATTTATTGCTCTCAACTTATAAAGAGAAAATTAGGTGCTGCAAATATTATCTTTAGTTTGTATTTTACTAAAATTTCTGTCTAAAAAATTTCAAGTGGACAATTCTATGCAGAATGATAGAATTAAAATTGCTCTTTTTTATAAAAAATAATATATCATAACAAATGAAAAAGTATACAATTAATCAACATGATTGTGTCATCACTGAAAACAGGACTCGGAGAAATGAATAAGCGAATGAAAAAGCATTTCTATCTCTCTTTCTGCATGCTATCTTTGTGCCTGAATCTACTAGAATGTGACAATGTATAGGATAAATGAGTTACAGCTTTCTAGAATCTATTTGTATTCAAATATATTCACAAATAGTTAAAATAAACCTGTATAAAAATTCATAACTGTATATTTCTTATACTTGATACCATTTTCTCTATCACTTACTTTGGACAGAATTTTATTTAATAACCCATATTTAAAAGAATTCTTTAATATTTTACATTTATACACTCTATTTTAGAGACATTATTCTAAAATTAAAAGACTCCAGGTATGCTAAATCGAAAGATTTCAGATTTTGTTTTTACATTAACATCATCACACAGATATATTTACAGCTCAACTAGTAAAGATTAAATCTTCAAAATATCCTATGAAAGTTTTACTGGTCGCACACTGTTAGTAAAGAAGCTATCAAACTAGTATTTCAGTATCCATTGCCAAATGATTAATTTGACAATGCAACTAAACGTGGAATTTCACTAAAATAAGCTTCAAAAATCGGTTGATCTTTACAATATGGTAACTGGTAGTTTGGCGACATTTTGGAGGCGATAAAGGTTACTACCTAGGACTTTGGTAATAATGTGAGCAGTACTCAGTTCCGATTACACATTATTTTGTGTGAGGGAAATGAGAGATCATGAGATATGTCATGTGACATTAATGGACGAATTACAGTTCTTTAATCGGAAAAGGGGGGAAATCGGGAAAAAAATGTGGAAATTTTGTATTTAGCTTTATTCTGTGTTGTGTGAAACAGTGTTGTTTAATTTTTGGATCCCATGGCCTAACTAAAGTGAATTCGAAATGGGTATTTAGGCATTGTGATAAAGAGAAGTTTGCTTTTATTTGCGGAGGAAGTATGGAGGAAAAATTCGCACAAAAAATTTCAATAATTTTTATTGAATGAATTAGAAAAGTGTATCCGCCACGTAATCAAGATTCTGAAGAAGATTAGGTAAGTTAGTATTTTTAATTATTTGAGGATATTATTTTTATGCATTGTTCTAAATGTAAGGTGGAAAGGAATTATGGTATTATTGGGAAAATTGTTATTAGCAATGATTTAGTTTAAAGTAATTAGGATTGTAAGCTAATTTTTATTAATTTAATGTATGTGCTCATTTATATTTTAAGTAGTGTTTTTAAATTTAATTATATTTTAATTGAAATGATAGTTATTTTGTGAATTTTATGTTTGTAGGAATTTGGTATACGTTTCAGTTGAAAGTAAACGTGCATGGAAATAATTTAAATATTTGACACTAAGTATTTGTAATGTTTGCAGTATGAATTCGTTGGTGACGTTGTATAATGTAATAGATAATTTAGAGGTAAAAGTTTTTGGATATTTTATTTATTTTATACGTGGAAATGTTCATATTTGGAAAGGGTAAATACTTTTTCGCGATCAGGTAATTTCATATATGTTCTTTTTACCGGGTTTAAAGATTCAGAAAATTGTCATGTATTTTCGTGAAATTTTTCTAATTTATGAGAAAAAAGCAGTGTACATGGATATAGTGAAGAGTGTGCGCAATGCCATTTTTGTGCAATTCTGGGATGTTTTTTTAAGTAAAAATAAGTCGGCGTGTACATGGTTATGTGTATGTGTTATTTTGAAAAACGCATAAGGAGTATGGTATTGTGCACTTTTTCCCAATTTTGCAGTGAATATTTGTCATGATTAAGCAGTTTTTTTTGATAAAATTTCTAGCATAAGTGTAATTCGGCTAGTAGATTGTTGGAAGAAGTGTTCAGTAGATAAAAAGAAAAGAAACATGTCTTTACTTCGTGAAGACAGAATGGCGGCGGGGAAAAAAAAATAGAGGGTTGCTGTAGGAGAGTTGGTTGCCTTTCGCCAAAAAATCGCCAAGTTACCATAATGTAAAGATCAACCCAAAAATCTAATCCCAATTTTATAAGACTTCAAACTTGTTTATACAGCCATAAAATGATCATTTTAATTCTTAAATAAAAGAAATAAAAAAGTATTTTATAAAAAATTTTGGTACTTACGTATTAACACAACCAGGCCAAAATTCGCATAAATCGCCAAATTTGGCGACCCTACTTACGGCAACCCTACGTGTTTAGATGAAAGTTTATTTGTAAAAAGAAAAAATAACACTGGGCATGTACTACCACAGCAATGGGTTTTCGGCAGAATTTGCCGAAAAAAGAAAGAGACTTTTTTGGTTACTGTACCTAACAGAAGCGCCGTTACCCTCATTGAAAAAAATTTGCGAAAATATCAAGGAAGGAAGCATCATTTATTCGGATTGCTGGAAAGGATACAATACAAGTGAGTTCGAAAATGCTGGATTTCTGCATGGAACTGTTAATCACAAATATAACTTTGTGGATCCCAACACGGGCGTTCACACACAACATGTAGAGCGCATATGGGGCTCGCCAAATGGCGCAACAAAAAACAGAGAGGAACAGCCAGTCATCATCTTGACTCATACCTTATCGAATTTATATGGCCTCAAGCTGTTAATGGCGAAGACGGTTTTTAATCAGTGCTAAAAGCAATAGCCAAAAGATTTCCGCCGAAAAAATAATTCTGCAACTTATTCAAATTTGCTATTTTATATTTTAAAACAAAATAATATAAAAAAACTGCATTAAAAATTATCTGTAATTAATAAATGTACATTTTATTTCTATTCATACTTTTTTACTCAAACTTACAAATCGCGCCAACCTGGTTGCGATAATACGTTAAGTACCAAAATTTTAACAAGAGAAAAAAATACATCTTTGCATTATCATTATTATGTTTAAATAAGTATTTTAAAGGCTTTGCCAGAAAATAAATCTTTTTGGCAGCTTAATATTTATACAGGTAATAGAAACTTAAATCAGGTTCATTCAATTTTAATAATCAACAGAAGGTTTTTACAGTTTTAATATTACCAAAAATTTTATTTCACAACCCTAAATTTCTGTCCATGCCTATATACACAAAGCAAATAAAGAACAAAATTCAAATATCATTCAGTGGAAAAAATTTGCATTATCTTTCATCATATGCTATATAGAACTGTTTCTATATTCTCTTAATACAAACTGATCAATATGTTAAATACAGTTACAGCTGTTTATTATGGAATAAAACTCCAATATTCAATGGAAGAGATAATACAATAAATAAAGAAGCTAGAAGATAAATCAGCATGGAACTAATTAAGACTTATCTGGAATACTTAAAGCACAGATATCAGAAATTATTCTTCATTGTTCGATTCCAAGAAAGTTATACGAGAGGTAAAAGATAATAAAAAGGTTTCTTTTTTTAAAAAAAAAAGGCAGAAGGGAATACAGAAGCTCAGTAGACCAAACTGCAGGTATCAATAATCTCATATATTTAATAACAAAAATATTAGATGTTACCAAAAGCTAGAAGTTTCCTATAGAATTTTACATTGCAGTATTTGTTATATACAAAAAAACAATTAATGTTCAGTAAACTTTAATTACATATATTTAATAAAGAAACAATTCATTTATTACAATAATATTCACACTGACTTAAGAAATATTAAAACTGGTTGCATTTCACATATTTTGAAAATATCTAAACTTACACATTGATATAAATGGGAAATGCCACATTTTCCACACTAAATATGTAACTGAAGCGAAACCATGTTGTCCAATACGTAATTAATCATTAATATTCCCATGAATGTATCTTTTAATCTTTACAATAACACAAAAACATCATACAGAAAACTTTTGACAAATGAATTTATTATTACTTTATGTAATTTAATGATTCAACTAAGTTCTTGCAGTAAAAATTGCCATTATAAATTTCAGATCCAACATACTAAAAGCTAACAAATATTTAATAAACTTTTTTCCATTTATTTTTATTCATCCTCCCAAATTTTTACTTATATTTGAGAAAACTCAAGCAATGAAAGTACCAAGTCAACCCTGCTAATAATTAGCAAGGCATTACATAAAATTTTGTCTTGTATGACTTTCAACAATATCTATGATAGGGATACTTTTATATCAACTCTCAGAACTTGCAATACTCTTCCTATAACGATGAAATTCAGTAATAATTTGCAGGTTAAACAACAAAAGAATAAACAAGTAGCTTTACTTACAAACGATGTAATATATTTTTATAATAAACAGATTAAAAGACATTTAACATATGTATATTTTAAATACATATATATAACATGCATATATTTAGAAAATATTTCAGTATTGCAGATTCGTTCAGACATTGGCATAAAAGTAAAAGTTTACAGTGCTGAATAAGTAGTTATATTTGGTATAATACAATTAGTCGCAATTATAAAGTTTAAAATAATGAATGTATTACTTCAAATGAGTGTGCAGCTTTGTTGTTTTCCCAAGCAAATCCTCCCAGAATGGAGTTGCAACCTATAAGGAGCAATCATTTTTTAGAAAATGTTTATAATTAGAAATTTTTCAAGACTCAGCAAAGTGTTATAAAACTAAGCAAAAGGCTAAAGAAAAACACTAACCAATCAATATTTAATAAACTTTATTCCATTTATTATACATGTTACTATAGTATATATACAGTGAATTAAAAAAATTATTTCATATTTAAAGTAAATTATACCTTAAGGTCACTGATAATGAACTGAAACAAGCCTCCTAATGCACTGCATTCTTTCTCGGCTAATGATTCCATTTTGATCTCAAATTTTTATATGAAAGTAATCTAATAATTGTTAAACTGTTTTTGAAACACAGAGCTTCATATTTTCTTACGAAACTCTGTACTTCATATATTGCGACTTACATAGGGAAATAATTATCCAGTACTCAAAGTCAGTTATACATTTTAAATTCCAGTTTTAGGGGTAAAACTGAACACATTTTACTTAAAAGATTCATGACAATTACGGTATTTCGGTACAGCAAAAGGAAAATTGATGGAACAAATGCGCTTTCTACTTATGTATATGTTTCATTTAGAAAAACAAACAATATTTTTCTTTCTTTTTTCCTCCCAACTTGATTTCTAAAACAATTCACTTGCACGAAACACAAGTAATATCTTCCAGTCGAAACAAATAACCATGTAATAAACTCTTTCAGCGGAAGGATAATTACAAATACCTAATTTCCAAAAACACTACTAAATCTACATAAACTCACAGTAACCCACGATACATCCGCGCTTACAATGGCCGAGAGATGGCGCTTCATAATTTTATTGATGAGAATTTCTTAGAACGAAATTGCTTCCCGAGCTGCGACTCTCTGTATACCACGTATTTTCAAGCTAAATATTCCGTGAGTTATAATTTTCAGCTCTAAGAAGAAACTTTTACTGTTATTTAGTTATTGTTACTGTTATTTGACAGATTATTTAACTAAGATGATGCCCTTGTGGAGCACATAGGAAAGCTTATTTACATACCGACATGAATGAAACTGCGATAATTTTATGGTTGTGAATACATCCCGGTTCATTCTTGTGATCAATGAGTAAAATTAGCACTATAATATCTATATATATATATATATATATTTTTTTTTAAATTACTTGCTAACAATGTTGGCAGGCATTTTGAGCAGAAAACCCTATTCAGGATATCTGTGCCAGACAGAAATCTAAAAAGAAACACTTTTTCTTAATAATTAAATGAATACAATGTCTTTGGAGACATTCTAAAGGTGATTCGATCTCCGACCAAAGAGTGTCTATGTAAAGAAGGAAAGGTTCCATAGACGTAATGTAAATCAGCCTCCTATTACGCCGCTAGTAAGCGGAGGAAAAAATTCGCGGAAAAGGGATCTGGCGACGGACGTTCTTTCACAAAACATTTTTTCTTTGACTTTTCGCGATAATTTAAACTCGGAATTTCGTACTATATTTTTGCTCAAAATTACTAATCAATTAATTAATTTACTTACGCGAAAAAATACCTTCTTTTCCTTTAAAGTTTAAAGAAATTTAAAACGGTATTCGTTTTATGAACTCTTGATAAATGTGACCTTCAAACTTCAACGTCGGCTTCGAGCTTTGGCCCCATGGAGGTTAGAATAGGACAGAATAGGTTAGAACATGGGGCCCTAGTCTGGACACTGTCGAGATAGAAGAACGGGTCGTTTTTTGCGATCTACTCGACAGAAAGCGAGTCTGGTGTCATCGTCTCGATCATTACAGAGATCGACGCGTCGGAGATTTTTCCGTCAGCTGGACAGCTGCCGTTTAAGTTTCTGACTGTCGTTTTAGAGCTAAACTGAGGACGGTGGAGGTCACGGATTGTTTTTGAAAGTGTACGTAATAGATATTTTAATTTCTTAAGATTTGTGAAAAACTCGAGTGTGGCGACTCTGTAAACATGTGTCGTACTCGCCAACCGCGCGCCGTTATCACTAACTGTAACCGAAGGTGATTTCGGGGACAAGAAGGAGGGAGGGTTCGCAGTTTCCTCCACTCTGGGGGAATGAAACTCTACCGAACAAGTGGCGTCCATGTTTGTAATTTCAAAACATTGCATTACTGCAGTGAAACGTACGTGTTTTCAAGCTGTTCCGTGCATGTATTTTCCAGTAAAAATATGTTAAATTTATAATAAAATGCTTCGCTATTGTTAGTTTTTTGTTTTAAAGTTATAAAGATGATATCCGTAATTTACTGCGTACAGAAAAGCATTAAGAAATAGTTCGAAATCTAAATGCATGTGCATAACATTAAAGCCTTTAAAAAGGATGTTTCTGCATATTTCGAGAATTTATTTAGGTTTTATTAGCAACCTGTTGGGTGTACGTTCCAATTTTTTCCTTTGAGAAGTGATATTTCTGATTTATTCACAATAGTGTAATTTATTAAGAATCATTTAAATAATTTAACCTGAAATTAATAGCAGATAATCATCTAAAAATATAGTCACAGGTTGCATTTTTTAAATGAAAGTTTTAAATAAATTCTTTTCGTAACAAAAACCTTATAACAACAAGAGAATAAATATTAATAAAATAAAACAGATTTATGTGAATTCAGTGATTTCAGTTCATGCGCGTTTCGTATATATGAATCTCAAATAAATTGCCTTGAATTGAACTGAATTACAGAAATATACCTATATAAATTTTTGGATACATCTTTCCACATGTTCAGTTAGGTAAATTTTTACTTACTTTTATTGCTATACTGCCCATAAATTTGTAAATTTATGCAAAAAAATTTTAACAGCAGAAAAGTTAGTTTATCTTGATCAAATGCACAAATTATATTCCTAACAGTTCACAAAACTTTAAAATGAATAATAATTAATACATAAAGAAAAACATTACTTTATTTAACACCTTTACAATTCATAAAAATACTAACAATTGATTTCTTACTTTTAATGTAAATTATAAAACGAATTACCTAAAGCGTTCAAATTATACAGTTTAAATCCTAGCATATACCATTGTATGTTAAGGAATGAAGTTACCAGCAATAAACAGAAACATTAAAATGTATTTAAGATATTTTGATTATTATTGAGTACGTTTTTCGCATCTGGAAAGAAAACAACATGACATTGTGATATTTTTTAACATATTTATCAAATTACATAGAAAAAGAAAATCAATACTTACGAATGAAAAGTAATCTTAGGAATATTTTTCGAAAATCTATTTGTGCATCCATATGCAATACAAGCTGACATGCTTCAAAAAGAAAAGAAAAAAAATAATAATGCAATTACAGATTCCCTTGCGCAAGTCACAGCGATAACAGGAACATGGCCGCCGAGCTTCACCGTTTGAGTTGAACCTTCCCTCCTTCTATTCTAACCTCCTTGACACAATCACGTAGGTTTCAAGGAGGTTATAATAGAAGGAGGGTGGGTTCGCAGTTTCCTCCACTATCGGGGAATGAAACTCCACGGAACAAGCAGCGTCCATGTTTGTTACTTCAAAACATTGCAATACGGCAGTGAAACGTACGTGTTTGTAAGCTGTTCTGTGCATGCATTTTCCAGTAAAAATATGTTAAATTTATAATGAAATGCTTCGCTATTGTTAGTTTTTTGTTTTAAAGTTATAAAGATGATATCCGTAATTTACTGCGTACAGAAAATCATTAAGAAATATTTCGAAATCTAAATGCATGTGCATAACATTAAAGCCTTTAAAAATTATGATTCTGCATAATTTCAAGAATTTGCTTAGGTTTTATTAGCAACTTCTCGGGTATTATACGTTCAATTGTTTCTTTAAGAAGTGATATTTCTGATTTATTCGCAATTTATTATAATTTATTAAGAATCATTTTTACCTGAAATTAATAATAGATAATTATCTAAAAAAATGGTAACATGTTGCTTTTTTTAAAATGAAAGTTTTAAATCGATTCTTTTCACAACCAATAATGAACTTATATCAACAAGAAAATAAATATTAATAAAATAAAACAGATTTATGTGAATTCAATGATTTCAGTTTATGCGCGTTTCATATTTATGAATCTCAAAGAAATTACCTTGAATTAAGCTGAATTACAGAAATATACCTATATAAATTTTTGGATATATCTTTCCATCTGTTCAATTGTATAAATATTTTACTTACATTTATCGCTATACTGCCCAGAAATGTGTAAGCTTATGCAAAAACATTTTAACAACAGAACAGTTTATCTTGATCAAATGCACAAATTATATCCGTAACAGTTCACAAAACTTAAGAATGAATAGTAATTAATACATAAAGAAAAGCGTTGCTTTATTTAACACCTTGACAATTCATAAAAATAGTAACAATTGATTTCTTACTTTTCATGAAAATTATAAAACGAATTATCTAAGCGTTCAAATTATACAGTTTAAATCCTAGCAATATCATTGTATGTTAAGGAACGAAGATACCAGCTGGAAGCAAAAACATTAAAATGTATTTACATGTTTCGATTATAGTAAGTCCATTTTTGTCACATCTGGAAAGAAAAACAACATGACATTGTGGAATTTTTTACATACTTATAAAATTACATAAAAAAAAAGAAAATCAATACTTACGAGAGAACAGTAATCCCAGGAATATTTTTCGAAAATCTATTTGGGCATCCATATGCAATATAAGCTGACAAGCTTCAAAAAGAAAAGGAAAAAAGGGGAAAAAAATGTTACAATTACAGACTTCCTTGCGCAAGTCACAGCGATAACAGTAACATGGCCGTCAAGCTTCACCGTTTAAGTTGAACCTTCCCTCCTTCTATTCTAACCTCCTTCGTAGGTTTGAAAAGGATTGGGGACTGGCGCTGCGATCACGAAAGCTGGGTGCAGTGTCTAAACATAGCTCCGAAATTTTTTAAATAAAAGTTTCAGTAAATGTTTTCAACTCTCTAAAAAAGTTTAATGCGCTGTTCCTATGCAATGTCTCATTCATCAAATTGAAAAAGGAAACTTCGCTTCTTCGAAACTTCAAGTGTTTTGTTAGCTGTTCACTATCAACAAGAGAAATCCAAAAGAGGCCCTGACACGGAATATTCAGATAAGTAACATTCTGTTCTCTATACAATATCGGTTTCTCTATCACTAGAGTGCTATTAAATTTATTTATTTATTATTTTCATAAGATTTTAGCATTATACAATAGTTGTTAATAGTAGCAGGTCATGTGGTTCTTTTCTTCGTAACTATTCCGTAGAGACGCCACATTCCTTATGAGTAGTCCGTTCTTATCAGCAACTCACACGCTTCGGAGCCCCCCCCCTTTTCGTGCTTCGGAATTTCTTGAGAGGGAGAAATGGGTATCTCTTGACTATCGATGAGTATAGATTGTGATTTTTGTAACTAAGATCCCCGACTTTTTTTTCAGGTCTCAAACTTAGAATTATGAGCAAATAAAAATACAGTGTGACGGAATTTGTTAAAGTTGTACTATAATAAATTACAACGGTTAAATTAATAAATTATTTTATTTAACTAATATTTAGAATAATAACTGTAAAATTTATTTTTGCTGAAATGCTCTCACACTGTATGGATTTATGATTTTGTCAATTACTGTTTTTATGAAATATACATGAATTTTGGGAAAAACGGATTTAATGTTACTTTAGTTAAAATATTATGTACATCTCTGTGATGATATATGTCTTTTCTAGTTAGGTCTCAAGATAAGGCATACCATTACCAATGTAGGAATTCATTCATTTAGGTTATTTGG